GTGGAGAGGCCGTCCCCCCCGTCGTTAGTCCTCCCCAAGGGGAAATGGGCCCCCTCCTCCTCAGCTGCCTTTGCTGCGGTCAGGGTGTGGGCGACCCTCTGCAGGACCTCACGGAAGAGGTAGGAATGGGCGGCGGTGCAGTCATGGTGCTGCATAAAGGCGTCATAGGCGGCTGGGCAGCGGTGGTAGATCTCCAGTGTGCCCACTTTGTGGGGCGGGACGGCCCCCGCGGACCCCTCCAACGCCGGGTTGGGGGTGGGCCCGGTGGGGCGTGCCGTGGGTGATTCAACTTGCATAGGACAACGCAGGTCGTCAGGTGATACCGCATTCCAAGTACGTCGACATCCATTCTCCGCACACACTCTATAAATTTCTTGACGAAGGTCAGGGGTCAAGAGGTCCAAAGAGGTCAGGATCACCACGCGTTCTCCGGTTGTCTCGAGTACTTTAGGTTGGAACTTATGGCCAGCTTTCAATTCACCACCAGTTCGAGTTCGCTTTTTGATAAGATTCGATGTCCTTTTGGCGGGCATCGAGATCGTGTGGGGGAGTATTTACCGATTCTTATATCTCTTGACGACAACACAAGACAGTTTTTCTCGGAGATCCCTTGCTTTGACTTGTTCAAACTGAGCCTGTAATCCCTGCACTTCACGTCTAGATCACGCAGTAAAGTCTCTCTACACTGAAGTCAAACTCAATAGAACAAACAGCTGTTGTTATTATTATTAAATTCGATTTACCGGCATTTCAATAATCTAAATGAAAATAATAAGGGAAATAGGGAGCAAGGGTTCGAGATTCACAGCGTCGAGGAACACCCACAGTTCACATTCCGAATCTGCATCTTGGTCCCACACCAAACACTACCGCATCAGCAGGCAGACTACCTAATACATAGGAAGTGCTAGTGAAGGGCGATGAAAAAATAAAAGATGAAAGTAGAGTTTTGGTATTCATCCCACACAAGCAATGGATCATCAGCTCACCTAAACTGCTCAATAGTGTGTAGATCCATGTCCCGCGATAACACCACACCACGGCCCAGAACAATCCTTATCCTTTAATTTGTACACAAAGAAGTCAAAGGACCCGGACAATTAGAATAGCATCATGACACGGTCTATACCTAATCTGGCAACAATCACAGTTTTAGATAAGGCGAGATACCCATTGCCCTCAAAATGCAAACATTTCCCCATAGCGATATTCATTCTATAAAGAGAACCCTATTCTAGATACAACTACTATATTAAACCACTTGAGAATATAAAAGAAGCCAACACACAGGATTCACGTGTTTAGAATAGCACTGCATGGAAAGCGGTAATGTAAGGTAACAGTTAGGAATGTTTCTTTTAACACATCGTACTGGATCGTATTAAGCTTTTAGCGATAAGTAATTTTCCTTATTATCTAAATTTAAATTTGATTAATTATAAATTGAAGGAATGTTACGTTATTTCTAAAACTTTTTTTTGTGTGTATAGATAAATTTACCATTTTCGAAGAATCTAATTTATTTATAATATGTATCTAATTTAAATATTATATTTTAAAATTATCATGTCACCCCTTCAAGGGATTTATAGGATTAGAAGATATCTTGAGGTAATTATAATAAATTTAAATTATACCCGTATATATAGGCTTGATATGCTCTATACACATCTAAATATTTAAATTTATTCTTAGCTTAGCTATTTAGCATAAGCAAAACTTACTGTAGATTTGTCAGCGTCAAAAACGGTGTACACATGTTTGAGAAAAACGTCTCCAAGAATCCAAGCCTTATTATCAAAGAATACAGAATTCTCTGGGAACATTCCAAAGACACATGCATCACTCCCGATCTTAATAATGTAGTCTTTATTAAAGAAAGTCCATTTTTTACCGGCAATTTCTAGCTCAATTTTAGGAAGACTATAAACCTTCTTACAGTCTACAGTGTAGATTCCTTCTTTCAATATCGCGCCGGTGGCTTTAACAATTACATGAAAGACATTTTTCGGGACTTTAATGAATGAAGAACCAGAATCAAGAATACCCGTAACCTTGTCACTAATCACGTTATTACCAATAGTAACAGAGGATATGTCAACTGTCCAGTAAGTCGTTGAAGTAACTTCAACAGGAATTAAATCTCCCTTAAAAAGTTTAGGATCATACCCACCGATAATAAGTTCACCATCCTTCTTCGGATTCTTGGGCAGATAAAATGCAAACTGTTTTGCCAGGTACGTGTTAGCGTCAAACAGCGAAAATATCGTGGGCCTAATGTTATACTTAGAGAGGGAAGGTAATGCCATCCCTACAACACCATCCCACTTTGAATTAACATACATTTCGCCTAACCCTGAAACATCGTCCACTTCTGCAAAGATATGTTCGATAGTAAAAGATGCGAGGCAGATCTTGTCCTTTACAAAAACACCCTTAAGGAAACCGCTATTATAATTTTCAGAGAACTCACGCCCATCCGGAGTTGAACTGGTGCTTTTCTGCGAACTGTAGGATTTCTTCGACCTGCACATATTCGTTTTTACAGTGGGAAGCCACATTTCGCTGCTGCCGGTGTCGAATAAGACTTTGAATTCCTTCGCGGGGGAGCCCACAGAAATGGTGCCGTAGAACTGGATGCCTAAATCATTATTAATGGAAATACGGCCTTTGTTTTTAGCTAACATCTGAGGTGATGGGTGTAAGTGTTCGTGGTGAGCGTCCTCCTCGAATTCATTTAGGCGCTTCAGAGGAATGCGGTACGGGCCATCCGTTGCACCGCTCGACACCAACGTACAGACAACAATAATGAACGA